AGACTTGAGAGCTCCTGATAAAAGCTGTAATATCAGGTTATCAACAAGCCTTTTTCTCTCTTGGCATTACACTTTGCCCACTGGTACTAAGTCCTGTCTTAATGTGCTGACGTGGAAATTTGATAGAAGGATTTTTGTAGGAAAGAGCAAAGGGGAAAATGTTTAAGTAGGCATGCACCAGCCCTGCCACCACCACTGCATCATGGAGGGAGGTTACAGAGTGACTCAACCCCTGGTGCTAATAATGGCCCCCTTCAGCTGCTTCCCAACCTCCAAGGCTGCTTCTGTGACTCACTTCCCTTTACACGTCTGACAGTACCAGGAGGCAAGCACAGCAGGCCTGATTATTGGCACTCATGGATGGAAACTCAAATGGCAGAAAAGTCAAGAGACTCACTGTATCCCCTGGATAAGAACCAATGTAAGAAGAATCAAGTGTTCAGGATTTTAGGCTGACGGGTTCATAGGGAAGTAGCAATGTTGTGGTTACAGTTATTAAAACATGGAATAAGAAGACACAAAAGGAATAGACTGAATCCTAAGACTCGGTTGATTACTAATTCAGAGAACAATCTCACAACTTGGGTCAGTGTGAAGGACCTGGCGTCGCCAGCTTTGCTTGCCGCCTGGCCCATGGAAGATGCCCACCGATGTCTGCCCTGTTGACCTGGTGCTGAATGTGGTAAGTGCCACACAAGCCTCGGATGCTGTTGTTCCCACCAACAGCTTTGCCATCCCCTCATCCAGACAGCTTTCCCACACGGTTACCAGCCAGCCTAGAGGAAGGCGGGCCCTTTCCTTGTCTAAATGCCAGCAGAATGGCCCAAATGCAAGACTCCATGTATCGTTGTCATTATTGGATTGTATTGTATGAATACTGAAAACTGAGCTCGGAGTCCCCTGATAATGACCGCCCCCAGGCCTTTTAGGGCCGTCTCCAGGGGAAAACGCGTCTCTGGTTCCCGACCCAGCTTTCTGCAGGCCAGGTGGCCGCCCAGGGCCATCATGTGTCATCCCAGCGGTGTCGTTTGCTGTTTGCTCTACGATATGGTAGTTACTAGATAGCCATGGCACACGATTATAGGGCACCATGTGATATGTTCTGTGTCTCTCAACCACAAGAGGATCAGGGTCATTAGCAAACCACTCACCTGAAACACCTGTCACTTCCTGGTGCTGGGAATAGTTCAGCTCTTCTCCTCAATCTGCTCTGAAATACACAGTAAATCACTGCTGAGCCCAAGGGTGCCAGCCTTCCCTCCTATCCGACTGTGCTTTTTACCCATTAGTCAATGCTTCCCCATCCCCCACCCCAGCAGGCTTTCCTCACCAAGGCCACAGGGGAAAAGTCTTTCTAGTGTGACCTGCTGGCTGTTTCCTGTGCGTCTGTGTTCACTGAGCATGTTTGGCAGTGGTGCTTGCTTCCATAGCATTAATGTATCCTCCACCCACCCCTCCACCAGGCTGTACTGCTGGTCTTCCTCAAACACTGAGCTATTCAGCATGTCTTCTTTTTGGTCTTGATTTTCCAGAACTAAACACTAAATGGCGCCCAATTATAGTAATTATCTCCTCCTGTTCCTGATGTCATTAGATCCCTCTTTAGCTGTGTGCGTCTACTTTTGCTTTACTGCAACTGTCCTCCGAAGAGGCAGCTCATGCCTTTCTTGTAATCTTCAAGTCAGTGATAGAAATAGTTAAGGTATCAATTATCACTTAATATGTGTACAGGTGTGGATGCACACACACACACACACACCTACCTTGATTTCTGCTCAGCACTATCCGAAAAAAGAAAGTTGTATTTGCTTTTCAGAGTCCCAGAAAAAGCAAAGCCCCAGTTAGTTAAAAATCCAGCTGACTGTCATGCTGAGTGCTTGAGGAGAGTCTTCCTGGGCATTGATGGCAGAGAAGTGGACCATAGCCAGCAACCTCAGGGAAGGAAGCAGTTCTAGAACTCAGTGCAGTGCCACTCCAGTCCACCTTCCACCACCACGCCAGCGTTGCTGGGTGGGGAAAATGAGGGTTTTTGTTGATGGCTGGCAGCAGCAATTGTCTACTGCCTACCTCATTCTATGAGTTCATGAATCGAGTAAGTAGAGAAATAGGGGCTACTTCCCAAGTCGGGACTGGAATGAAAGAGCCTCTTCCTTAACTAGAAAGTTTACCAAGGAAATGTATTGGAAGATCCCTTCCTCTAGAGAATTGTCATTGAACTTCCACAGCATTTACTGCAGCCAGGAGTGTGTGCGTTGTATTCAGTCAGATGTATTCAGACTCACGAAAGTGCGGTGCACGCTGTAAAGACAGAGGCCCGGGGACCCTGGCCCCGTCCATGTGCTTTGTTTCGTGGCCTCTGTTCCATGTTTGGTCTGAATGGTCATTTGGTTTGGGGACAGAGCTGGACTTTCTAGAAACCTGTGCGGTCCCAGCCTTCTGGTGTAAGGGCAGTGGAGCGCTTAAGACCTTGGGAGATGGAGGAAGGAAATGGCCTTGGCCAAGGAGGAGACAGGCCAGGCAACACGCAGGAGCCAGACCTGATCTGTGTGTCCACCTAAGTCCCTGCGCACGAGGGAAGGGCGTCAACAGGCCACATGGGGTGCAGGAGAGGAAGCAAAGCTAGGTGGTTGGCAAGTGCAGGGAGACGGAGGGCCCGGGCTGGCCCGCGGAGGCTCGCCTGCCCACAATCCCACAGGCTCCCGGGGGAGGGGGGCCGGAGGCGGGGTGACCGGATCAGAACCCGGAGCCCAGCTCTGCAGACCTGGCCACTCAGAGGTCCGCGGGGCTCTCCCGTGCAGGGCGTGATCAGACAGTGGAAGTTTTCTTTCTGGTGCAGGCAGCCTGAGCAGAAAACTAATCTGCGATGGTGGTTCCAAAGCCTTCCGTGAAACCTGGGGAAGCGGCCCGTCCTGTTTGCTACGTAAAACATTCAATTTGTGCTGTTTCTTGCATTGTACAAAACACCTTATTACAATAGACGTTTCAATAACACCAGCAGTATTTTTTTCTAGTTCTTTCAAAAAAAAAAAAAACCACCTGGTCATATTCTCATCTTGGCTCTTATAACAATGTTTGTAGATGTGGTACATTTTGCAAAAATGACCAACAACTCAGCAACCCAGCCACGTGTTCCGAGGAACCTGCAGGGTTGCAGGCGGGGAACTGGGGTTCTCAGGTCACGGCGTTGAGAAAGCACATCCTGCTTAGGCTGATTCTCAGGTGCAGGCTGCAGGGGTGTGGCTGGTCCCTGGACCACTGAGTCTTAACTTTGATTTCACACTGGCACCACCAGAGATTTTTTTTTCTTGTCAGTCATGGGGCTTGAACTCTGGGCCTGAACACTGTCCCTCAGCTCTTCAGCTCAAGGCGAGCGCTCTACTGCTTGAGCCACAGTGCCACTTCTGATTTTCTAGTGGTTTATTGGAGATAAGAGTCTCACGGACTTTTCTGCCTGGGCTGGCTTTGAACCGTGATCCTCAGATCTCAGCCTCCTCAGTAGCTAGGATTACAGGTGTGAGCCATCAGCATCCAGCATCCAGAGATTTCTTTTTAAAGGCAGGTACTGGGGACCCATCCCTGAGGCTCAGAGTTCCCTCTAGGTTGGGCTGGTAGACAGCAGATCAGGCCATGAATTTTTTACAGCTCTTTGGGTGAGCTGTTGTGCATGAAATCCAAGGGCCTCGAGCATGGAGGCCCCAGACAGGGAGAGCTAGAAGCCCAGTATGTGACCTTACTGCTCAGCCCTGTGGTGGGCTTCCAGTAGAGTGCCGAGAAACAGCTTCACCCCTTTTCACACATCAGCTCCAGCCTCCGCTTGCTCCTCTGGACATGGGCTTCCCCTAGTGTCCAGCCAGCATCCCTGCCTCCCTGTCCACCCCAGCCGCCTCAGGTGAGGGCAGAAGGCTGCTTCCCCTAGCCATTCACCCGCCAGAGGCCACAGCTGAGCTTCTGGCCCGGTTTCCTGGTCCTCCCACAGGGGTCCCGGGCTGCTGGCACGCCTTTCCTGTGACCCTCAGGAGCTGGCTCCGGGCCACTCAGCCTCCGCCCTGCCTTCTCCTCCTGACACGAGGGTGTGCAGGAAGCATGGTCTCCATCCCCACCCCCCAGCATTCTCTCTGCCTTTCCATCAGAGTGAGACCACTTCTTAGCTGTCAGTCACCCCCAGAAAACAGTTTCCCCCAGACGCCTTCTGTAACAGGAGGGACCCTTGAGTGGAATACATAGTCACAAAATGGCAGGTGCTGTGTGTTCCTGCTTGCTTCAGATGAAGGACCTCAGTGCGTGGTAGTTCCTGCCTGTAATCCCAGCACTTGAGAACTGGGGCAGGAGGATTACAAGCTCCAGGCCAGCCTGGGCTACCTGGAGAGGCCCTTTAAGCATTAAAAACAAACCACCTACAGTGTTCAAACCCACAGAGACAGGAAGTGGGATGGTGGGGGCGGGGCGGGGAGGTAGGGACAAAGTTCCCATCAGGACCATGGAAGGGCTGGGTGCTGACAGGACGTGCACTCGGTCAGGTGGGCTGTGCGCACGGGCTCAGAGAACTCTGTGAGGGAGGCCAGGGGAGGCCGCGCTGCCAGGCCCCAGCACCCCCATGCCAGCCACCGTCCTGGTCCACATCTGACCTGCTTGCCAGATGGTGTGTGGCGGCCAGCACACAACCGTACCACACCGTGATGAGCCAGCACGGAGTGAACTCAGATCCCCAGGCACAGACCACATTCTTCTGGCCAGACGGATGCTGAAGTGCCTGGGGGAGCGGACACGGGTGTCAAACGGTGGACATGTGGGCGTTAGGCTGCTAAATAGCAGTGGTGTCTGGTGAGCTGTGCGGGGCTTGAGCATGGTCAGTCCTAAGCTGTGGTGCAGGCAGCCAAATGGCCGCCGATGGCCCTGCCGGCACCTCTGTGCCAAGGGTGGAAATGGGGGGTGAAATGCTCTGAGGGTTGTGGTTTAGGAGCTTCTGTCTGACCCACCGCCTTTTCTTCCTTTCCAAATAGATTTTCATCTTCGAGAACAACATCTACTACCGCGCACACGTGGGGAAGCAGGCCATCCGCGTGGTCTCCACGGGGAAGGAGGGTGTGATCTACAACGGCCTCAGCGACTGGCTCTACGAAGGTAATGGGGCGGCCGCGCTGCCGCCAGGAGGGAGCTGCGTGCGGCTGGGCAGGGGATGCGGCAGGGGACTGGACATGGCTGAGGCTCTGGGTCTGTCTGTCTGGGACTTGGTGTGTGGCTGGGCTGGTACATGGCTAGGTGGGTGAGTGGCTAGGTTGGTGCGTTGGCTGGGGTTGATGAGTGGCTGGGGTCAGTACATGGCTGAAGTGCGTGGCAGAGGCCCAGTGTGTGGCTGGTATCCACACATGGCTGAATCAGCACGTGGCTGGGGTCCTATGTCGAGCTGGAGATAGGAACACTGAGTGTTTTCAGGGAAGACTGTGTGGTCACAGGGGCCAGACGAGACCCCGCCCAGCCACGGGGCCTTGGTAACTTCACTCCAAAACTCTGCACCTGCTCTGTAGGTAGAGGAGGCCCGCTGTGCCCTCCGTCCATCCACAGATCACCAGAGGGCAAGTGGAATGCATTCAACAAGTGCACAGCTACATCCACTGTGGTCTGGGGTGGGAAGAGCGTGCTGCTGTGTTCATTAATTGAAAATAATAGTTACAGTAGTAGCAATCAGTGTGACCAGAATAGTCACTGTTACTTATTTTTAAGGCCAAGGTCAAGGCCTCCAGGCAGCCCCCAGAGCCATGGGGTAGGAGCCCCTCCCTCCATCCCCACCCCGCCCCGCAGGCCGCGCAATTCCCAGGGCCATGCAGGCTGAGCTACCACAGGACCCCACCAACAAGAGCCCGAGTCCTGACCCAACTCTCCTTTGCAATCCATAACCAGGAGATTCAAAACATCTTCTTCAGCATCTTCTTAGTAACACACAGAAGAGCATTGCTTTGCCATTCAGGGTAAGCTTTCACTTTAGCAAACCCATTGACAGTGCCCTTTTGTCCTTCTAGGCCTTTACGCAGATGTGATAAGAGAGCAACCAGCCAGCTTAATCTGCTTAGTCGTGTTTGCTAGAAGGTTCTCTCTGTTGATGCTTAGACTTCAGAACTTGGGAGCCCTGAAGAAGCTTGCTTCTTTTTTAATATCTGGAAAATATACTTTGAGGGTTGCTTTTGCCTAGTCAGCGACTTAACTGTTTTATTTCCGGACTGTTCCTTTAAGGGAAGTGGGTATGTAAGGAGCAGCCTGAATGCCTCTGCAGGGAGCCTGAATCTGGGCAGGTTGGTTGGAGCAGCTCAGCTGTATTAAATGGGAAGGAGCCGCCACCGTCAGTCCTTGTGTTTAGTCGCAGCAAAGTGCTCTATCGATCTGTTTTGTTTCCCAAGGAGAGGCACAGACATATTGAACATGGCAGGGTATTGGAGACACGGAGAGAGAAGAGGGAGGGAGCAGGGAGCTATTGGGAAGCTCTACCACCCACTGTCCACTAGGGGCAGCCTACAGTGAGGGGAGCAGAGCACCAGGATCGCGCACTCCGCTCCCCCCCCCATGGTCTCCTCTCCCCAGGATGGCCTGCTCTGGCTGTCAGCTGGGTGGCATCTGCCTTGGCGGCATTCTAGACAGACCATGGACCAGGCCAGGGTGACTGGAGACAAGATTCATCTGCCAAGTACACATCCTCATTCCTCCAAGCAGAGGTTGCATTCTTACACAGAGCTGTGGTTTTAATAGGAGCGTGAGGATAGTTTGAGGTACCACGCGCTGCTTGGAAGTTTTGCTAAAGCCGGCTGGCCACAAACTAAAATCAGGACGACAAGCGTTGTTTTTGGTTGAGTGTTTGAATGAGTGCGTTTGTGCAAGGCTGACGGATTGCACAGACCCTGAACGTGTACACTTAGGGACAAAGCGTGGTGGTCTCTGCATTTTCCAGCAGGGTTGTTTGTCACCGTGGTTATAGAACAGGTTACATTTTCCAATCGCTCTTGGTTTATCAAGTACCACTAGATTGTTTGCATCATCATGAGACTTTCAAGTCAGTCATAGTCCGGTGAAGCTGCCAGCCTCCCACACCTCCATACTGAAGCTTTTCTGCAGAAGCACGTGCAGAAGATGAGGCATGGCGTGCAAGGCCCACCCTCTGGAAGCCAGCTGGCTTAGGGCATTTCAGGCATCCAGGCGCTCAACCCAGCCCAGCTGAAGTGCTGATGGAGGGCCAGGCTTCAGTGAACCTGCAGGGCCGTTTGCTGAGCATGGCGTGGGCATGGCAGGGAGGGTGGAAAAGGTACCCTGCAGGGAATTCGGGGAATTCACTTACAATCTGGTCTGCTATGATGACACCTGGGTGGAATTGAAACCCTGACTGTTCCAGAGCTTCAAAAGCTCTCAAGAGCAGGTGTGGAGGAGGTGAGGGGTCACTGCACAGGAGCAGGTGTGGAGGAGGTGAGGGGTCACTGCGCACAGGAGCAGGTATGGAGGAGGTGAGGGGTCACTGTGTACAGGAGCAGGTGTGGAGGAGGTGAGGGGTCACTGTACACAGGAGCAGGTCTGGAGGAGGTGAGGGGTCACTGCGCACAGGAGCAGGTGTGGAGGAGGTGAGGGATCACTGTGTACAGGAGCAGGTGTGGAGGAGGTGAGGGGTCACTGTGTACAGGAGCAGGTCTGGAGGAGGTGAGGGATCACTGTGCACAGGAGCAGGTGTGTAGGAGGTGAGGGGTCACTGTGTACAGGAGCAGGTGTGGAGGAGGTGAGGGGTCGCTGTGCACAGGAGCAGGTGTGGAGGAGGTGAGGGGTCACTGCACAGGAGCAGGTGTGGAGGAGAGGGATCACTGTGTACAGGAGCAGGTATGAAGGAGGTGAGGGGTCACTGTGCACAGGAGCAGGCGTGGAGGTAAGGGGGTCACTGTACAGGAGCAGGTCTGGAGGAGGTGAGGGGTCACTGTACACAGGAGCAGGTGTGGAGGAGGTGAGGGGGTCACTGCACAGGAGCAGGTGTGGAGGAGGTGAGGGGTCACTGTGTACAGGAGCTG